AATTATAACTACAATCCGAAAAAACAGGGGAAGCCTGGCTTCCCTTGGCCTCCGGGAGAAAACGCCACTGCCTCCAACAGCAGTTCCTTGTGAATCTGTTTGTTAAGTGTTTGTGCTCCTTGTGGTTTTTAGCTGACGTGACATGAGTGAAAGACTACAGCAAATACCAGATTTGTACGCAGCTATTATTTAAAAAAAAAAAAAAAACTTTATTTAGCAGTAGATAATTGTCACTGTTTCTTGAAACTAGATGTGTGGCTACTGGCTCTGTAGGTTTTAATCAGGCTTAAATGTTTTATCACAGCATTAAAGCCTCCAGATGCTCAAGCAGCTGTGATATTACACCCTGAGGATTCCAAAAAAGTCGAAGGTATAAACCCACATTCGTTAACTTTTGTCTCTGTTGGCTAAGCTCTTGGTCATGGCTCGGTTTGTATGTTTTTATTCAGTGAAGTTGGTTTTGTGTTGTCTTGGACATTGTTGCTCTTCTGCTTAAATGTGTATGGCACTGTGACGAAGGTAACTTCGTCACTTCGGGCCTTGTAATATTGCACATGTGGGTTTGCACTTTATGAAACAACTTCCCTTTGCAGAGATAAAGTCACTCAGCACTTTAGTGGACAGTTTGCACTTTATTAGCGTGATTGCACAGTACAGTTTGGCATTGCATATTTGCACATTTTACATAATTTATACTAATTATTGAGGTAGTATTTATTAAATGATTAAACCGTATTAATTGGAATGTCGTCTGGCTGGTCGGGTCCTCGGCTCCGCCTGAAAAGATAGGGGAGTTAGCGAGAGCGCCGAAAGTGTTTGTGCTGGTGTAAGAATGACAGCGGTTGAGAATAATCAGGGTGCAAATAATATGTTGAGGGTGTATAAATTATGACGTTAAGTTGCATTAATTGTGCAAGTTACCACTATGTAATGTTGACATATCACTCACCCATGCTGTCTCGTCCGGTGTCCGCAACAGTGTATTTGGCCAGAAAGGTCCTCGGGGGAAACTGACAAAGAAGGTTCCGGGACGAACCAAGTGGCGAGATAGGCACAGGGGTTTCTGTTTTAGTTGGGAATCTATTTATGTATATTCTGTTAAGTATTAATGTTTGTTTTGGGTTAAATCAAGAGGTGTTTATGAATAACTGGTAATGCTATGAACATGATATTGTGACATTTTGACGATTATGATGACATATTGTAGTATTATTGTCATTACCAGTGAATGGTTTCTCCCAAATCACATACAGGGAAGATCCTCTATAAATCAGCCAGTCTTCAGACCTAGAGGGAGGAGGGAACATGTACAGGGTGAGATCCTTGTAGCTGGTGACTATGTGCACATGAGAAATAAATGCCCACACCGGGTTGTATTTGGACGTTCTGCCTCTGCCTCCTTGCTTGGTCGGGCCGCTCAATTGTCATTCTCACAATTGGTATCAGAAGTGGGATTGACCAAGTAAGGAGTTGAAAATGACGGGAGGAAAAAACAACGCCCAAAGAGAGCAGCCAGATGATGGTGTTGCTAGGCCTGGAACTGACCAGGGGTCCACGGCTGGTAAACCAGGGGACAAGTTGGAGGGACTGAAGGAGATGATGCGGTCATTCATGCGGGGTCAGACAGCCAGAGACAAGCAGGAGGAGTGCCGTTTGAGAAACATGGAGCAGCAGTTCGCACGGATACAGGAACAGTTATCCATAATAAAAGAGGAACGGAGACTCCGGAGGCAAGACGGGAGATTGGCTCTGCCTCCTTGCTTGTTCGGGCCGCTCAATTGTTAGCGTCACCAATTGTGAAGCTGACAATTGAGCGGCCCGACCAAGCAAGGAGGCAGAGGCAAAACGTCCAAATACGACCCGTGTGGGCATTTATTCATCATTGACACATGATTCACAGCCTCAATATTGCTGTCCACCTGAACACAGTCAGCAGCCATAAGGATCTCACTCACACACACACACACACACACACACACACACACACACACACACACACACAAACACACACACACACAGTGAATGTGCAGAGTAGCTGTAATAAGAGAGTTGTGAGTGTTGCGCAGTCGAATATGAATCTCTGTTTGTTATTCAGTGTTTCCTGTGATTCAGACTGAGAGGATCTGCAGTCATTTTGCACGAGACGCTTTGAGCTGAAATTGTCCGCCCACGCACGTTAAAAAAAAAAAACGTTTTCGTGGAGAGACATCCAGCAAGCCAAGGACAGAGCAAACGGGTTGGAGGCGTCTCTGGGTCAGTTGGAGCAGGTCCTCTCTCAGTCCCAGAGCGTGCAGATACAGCAGCTCCAGGATCTCCAGGATGTTTGCCCACAGCTCAGTAGTATGCAGGAGATGAACGAGTTCTTACAGCTGGAGAATGAGTTGACGAGGGAGCCGATGGCTGAAAATGAACGGTTGCTGGGTGCCAACCTGCAGGCTCTGCGGCAGAGAAACATCCAGTGTGAGGACCTGAATGGAGAGCTTAGTCAACTTCAGTTTGAGAAGAGGAGCTTTCACAAGGAGCTGGAAACCACAAAGTCCAGAGCCGGTGCCACTCAGCTGGAGCTTAGACAGAAACTGGCAGACGCGGTCACTGAAATCACTTCGCTGCATCACACTGAGGGGACTGACCAATGAACTACATACTGCTCTCAATGACCAGAAACCACAGAAGGATAAAGAGTCTCAACAAGTGGAGCGCCGTCACTGCTCCAGCTCGTTTGTCGACAGCGTGGCATGACGACATGGTTGCACTCACAACAGAGACAGACAAACTAAAACATAGACAGATCGTGACAAATGGATGCATACATAATACATTACATGTATAGCAGCACATTGCTTTTGGTGTTGCGATGGTGTAAAAAAGTCCAGTTTATGTAAGTTGAATTCAAGCATACTTTATATGTCTATAAATAACTTCAGATACAGTAAAGCAGTCACCAGCTCCAGAAGTGAGCTCCAAAGTTGAACCTGAGAAGAAGGAATCCAAAAAGACGGTTGAAGGTACAGTGGAGCAAAAAAGTATTTAGTCAGCCACCAATTGTGCAAGTTCTCCCACTTAAAAAGATGAGAGAGGCCTGTAATTTTCATCCTATACACTTCAACTATGAGAGACAGAATGGGGGGTAAGAATCCAGGAAAGGACATTGTCCTCCACTCGTTAATTGTATTAATGGCACCTGTTTGAACTCGTTATCAGTATAAAAGACACCTGTCCACAACCTCAAACAGTCACACTCCAAACTCCACTATGGCCAAGACCAAAGAGCTGTCAAATGACACCAGAAACAAAATTGTAGACCTGCACCAGGCTGGGAAGACTGCATCTGTAATAGGTAAGCAGCTTGGTGTGAAGAAATCAACTGTGGGAGAAATTATTAGAAAATGGAAGACATACAAGACCACTGATAATCTCCCTTGATCTGGGGCTCCACGCAATATCTCACCCCGTGGGGTCAAAATGATCACAGGAACGGTGAGCAAAAATCCCAGAACCACACGGGGGGACCTAGTCAATGACCTGCAGAGAGCTGGGACCAAAGTAACAAAGGCTACCATCAGTAACACACTACGCCGCCAGGGACTCAAATCCTGCAGTGCCAGACGTGTCCCCCTGCTTAAGCCAGTACATGTCCAGGCCCGTCTGAAGTTTGCTAGAGAGCATTTAGATGATCCAGAAGAGGATTGGGAGAATGTCATATGGTCAGATGAAATCAAAATATAACTTTTTGGTAAAAACTCAACTAGACGTGTTTGGAGGAGAAAGAATGCCGAGTTGCATCCAAAGAACACCATACCTACTGTGAAACATGGGGGTGGAAACATCATGCTTTGGGGCTGTTTTTCTGCAAAGGGACCAGGACGACTGATCCGTGTAAAGGAAAGAATGAATGGGGCCATGTATCGTGAGATTTTGAGTGACAACCTCCTTCCATCAGCAAGGGCATTGAAGATGAAACGTGGCTGGGTCTTTCAGCATGACAATGATCCCAAACACACTGCCCGGGCAACGAAGGAGTGGCTTCGTAAGAAGCATTTCAAGGTCCTGGAGTGGCCTAGCCAGTCTCCAGATCTCAACCTCATAGAAAATCTTTGGAGGGAGTTGAAAGTCTGTGTTTCCCAGCGACAGCCCCAAAACATCACTGCTCTAGAGGAGATCTGCATGGAGGAATGGGCCAAAATACCAGCAACAGTGTGTGAAAACCTTGTGAAGACTTACAGAAAACGTTTGACCTCTGTCATTGCCAACAAAGGGTATATAACAAAGTATTGAGATGAACTTTTGTTATTGACCAAATACTTATTTTCCACCATAATTTGCAAATAATTGGATTTTTTTTTTCTCATTTTGTCTCTCATAGTTGAGGTATACCTAGGATGAAAATTACAGGCCTCTCATCTTTTTAAGTGGGAGAACTTGCACAATTGGTGGCTGACTAAATACTTTTTTGCCCCACTGTATGTGTGATAGTGATAGTAAAGAACACTGGTTCTATTGAGTGTATACAACTCTCTTGAGCGCTGGGTTTTGCTCAAGCACATGCTGTGATAGAATAAGCACATAAAGGCTGTTGAGACATAACGTCCTGTTTCTTGAGGGTTTTGTCAAAAGTATGGCACATTTCTTTTGGATGGCTGATTAGTTAGAGATTGCGTATTGGGAATTGCATTTATTCAGAATCCTCCCAATTTATTTCATTATTGTTGTTTTTTGAATCATTCATCAGTTTGGCAACATCACTTTTGACAATTTAGTAAATTACACTATCATTGTTTCATTTTGCTGCTCTGTGTTTACTTCAGTAGATATATTATGTGTAACTAAATAAATCACACCTGCTGTTTCTAAAGTAATCACAAATCCAGAGCTTTCAAAGCTGGATACCAAAGAACAAGGTAGATGTTTTGTGGCAACCGCACATTGTGTAAGTTTTGATGTGTTTTCCTTGTCGATTTTTGTTTGATGGGAAATCAGTCTGGCTTGTTTCTGATGTCGTATTGACTCGTGAATGCCACATTTCATGTTGTCTCTGGATTGTTGTCGACGTGTAAAAGGAATAATTCAGATCTATATGCTATGACACGCTTGATAAATGCTTAGGTGGACCCTTGCTTATAATGGGAATAGGGATCAATGGCTGTGCACCCGTGTTGTTGAATGTGTGAAATATATGAAAATGGGCATATCAGGTCTTGTATTATTTTCTTTGTTTTTACTTTTGCAAAAATACAAATATAGAGTCAGGTAAGCTAAACATGACATCCCTTAAACAGTGCTGTAGTCTTCATCTTATCTAACTGATTAAATCCCCAGTTCTTCCAGTCACAGTCATTCAAGATCTGATGAGTCAAGAGGCGGAGGAGGAGGAAGAAATTGTCACTCTGCACTGTGAGCTTTCTAAACCCGGCCTCCCTGTTGAGTGGAAGAAGGAAACTCAGGTGCTGAGTTGTGGAGAGAAGTACCTAATGAAACAAACAGGATGTTGTTATGAGCTACAGATCTTCGACTTGAGACTTGAAGATACAGGAAGCTACTCGTGCTGTTCAGACGACACGATAAGCTCGGCCTCTCTTGTAGTAAATGGTAGGATGGATACCACTTCAACATTGTCTTCTTTCTCCATCAAGTCTTTCATTTCATCTTTTAAGTCATTCTTCTTTATCTCACCCATTCTTGACTTTGTACAGCAGATACAAATCTAGTTGTTTCCTTTCATTCATCAGCTTCCCCAGTCATTTTCACAAAAGATCTTGAAAGCCAAACGGCCGATGAGGAGGACAGTGTGACCCTGCACTGTGAGCTTTCCAAACCTGGTGTTCCTTTGGAGTGGAGGAAAGGAGAACTTGGTCTTTGTCCTTGCGCCAAGTATGAAATCAGACAAACGGGTCACCTTGCATCACTTGTAATCCATGATGTAGACCCAGAGGATGCTGGGAGTTACACATGTGACACTGGTGCCCATCAAAGCACTGCCCAACTAGCTGTGAAGGGTATGCCTGCTGAATAAACCCTGTTGTTTGTAGTTAAGATAATTGAGTTGCCAATGAATTGACCAAAGACAAAATAATGTAATGTAAATATCAAACATAAGTCTTGGTTGTCCTAAGTTGTTCCTCCTCCACTTCCTCCCCTGCAGCCCAGCCTGTCCTTTTCGAAACCCAGCTGCAGAACCTTATAAGAAAGGAAGGGGAGAGCGCTAGTCTTCGCTGTAAAACCACAAAGCCGGGAGCCAGTGTTGTCTGGAGGTTTGGAGACAGGGTGCTGGCATCCAGCAGCAAGTATCATCTGAAACAGGAAGGGACTGTAGCTGAGCTTGTCATCTATAAACTGCGAGGAGCTGACTCAGGAGAATATTCTTGTGATGCAGGAAACCAGAGGACTTCAGCTGTCCTCAGTGTGCAGGGTAGGAGCTGTCTATTTAAGACTGACCTTTTCATGCACCCTCTGGAGTCACTTCTTCCAATGTGTCCTTCATCACTCCAACACTTGAGCATGAAGTGCATCAACCTTTCATTTGGATGTCCTATTTTCACTTTGGACTTGATTGCATTTAAATATTCCAGTGTTATTTCTCATCCCACACGTGTCCTTATTCTTCCCTGTTCTCAAAGCACTTGTAGTTATTGACAGAAGCACTTTTCTGTTGAGCTTGATCACTCATCTCTTCCCGTTATTTGTGCCTGTCTGTAGTCTCTCATCACAAACAATAACACACCTTTTTACCTTCTTTTCTTCACTTGCTACTCACAATAATCCTTAGCTGATCACAATCTGACCAGCTTGAACTATGTCTTTGTCAAGAACTTCACTGAACAAATAAGTAACTATTCTTCTGAAATGTATCTTTCAAATAGAGGTGGAGGTTACAATACTGAAGTTCTTGGAGAGCTGCGTTGTGTACCAGGGTGACGATGTCCGCTTTGAATGTCGGGTTTCTCGTGAGGAGGCACCTCTGGCCCAGTGGAAACTCCAGGATGTCCCACTACAGAATAACGAGATGAACCTGATCAAGTCTGAGGGCTGCGTGCACAGCCTCAAACTCCGGGGCGTCACCACGGCTGACTCGGGAACAGTCACTTTCACAGTGGGTAACCACACTTCAACTGCTTCTTTGACAGTCAAAGGTAAGATAAATATTATGCATTGCCTATGAGGACGAGTATTCATCCTTGCGACTTTGTTTCTTCAGTAACATTTGGACAGTTTACTTGCCTTTATCGTCTTTCTTGTGGAACGCATTCCCTCTATTTCTTCAACAAGCATGCCAACACATGGATGCTTGTGATTTTCTTTCTTTTCACTTCATACTGACTCGTTATGCATTCATATATCCCACCCTTTAATTTGTATTTAATCTGCACTTAACTGCATTTTCCGTCATGTCTACAGTGTATGCATGTGTATTCATCTTCCTCCTTTTCCACTTCCAACAACCTTGAACATTTCCCATTATTTTCAACATGTTAAAGTGTCTTTCCTTGAAATTCTTGTTTACTGCAACTTTTTTCCCTGTACACTATTTAATCTTTATTTAGCCTGACACACCCAGTGATTAATCACGTGATATTAATCAACAATTGATATTGTTTGTTTGTTGTGTACTGTAGGGCAAGGTGTTTAAGATGCTGTGTTCACAATGTCACATATTTGAGACGAGCCTGGAAATCTTGTTTCATGTCCTCTCCCATCTTCCTACCCTCATTTCATCTCACCTTTTTATTGTGCTTTGGAGGAATCCCCATAAAAAGTGTGGATTTGTATTTAAAAAAAAATCTTAACACTCTTCCTCTGTGTTTTTTTTTTACTGTTCTCGGAAACGGTAAACATTATGTACCGCAAGGCCATTCATTGAACAGACAAATAATTTGCCTAGAAATATGTTTATAGATACATTCATTGCAGATTTTTTTCCCGCTAAAACTTCAAAATGGAGTGTAGATAAACCAGTGGCCTTACAGTTCTTTTCATGCTGCTGTTGCCTATGAGGACTGTTTTTTGCGATGGCTGTTACCAAATAAATCTTTGATATTTGTCATCTTAATTAATTAACCTCTTTCTGGCAGCCGCTCCTGCAACATTCAAGAAGGAGCTGGAAAGTCAAGAGGCCATTGAAGGAGACAAAGCCAGCCTGTCCTGCGAGACTTCCAGCCCCGACTGCAAGGTGACCTGGCTGAAAGACTCCACTGTGCTCATCCATGGGCAGAAGTACAGTTTGGAGCAAACCGCTACAACGCACATCCTGGTGATACACAAGCTGGATGTGAAGGATAGCGGAGAATATACCTGTGAAACTGGGGACAAGAACAGTACAGCTACCCTGACCGTGAAAGGTAACAGAGCATCTCATCTGTGTCTCTTTTGTCATCACCCTTCCTGAAGTTCCTTTTACATTCATCCATCCCATTAATAAGAACTGGATCAGATCTCCTCAGCATCTTACTCATGGAGTTTACAATCTTTAAGTTTAAGTGTGATGTCATAGCTGGCATGTAGTGAGAGCTTTACTTAAATATTCCAACGTTGGCTCAGTTTTCAACTATTTTTGTTAGTACTTACTAGTACTGCCATTTGTAGGTCACCAAATTACAGATATAGTTACTGGATTTGAATCGGGGTTTGTGTGGTCAATAAATGATTCATGTCAGGTTCCATGATCAAACTTGTGGCATCAGGTTGTATATAGGGATTAAAAAGAGATTCGTGGACACCTTGTTACTGATGCCTTCTGGAAGCTCAAGAGATCTGATCACTTCCATCATCCCATTCACCCTCAGCACGTGTTCGCATCACTCGAGAACTCAGCGATGTTACTGTGACAACGGGGCAGGATGCTGTCTTTGAGGTGGAGTTGTCACACCCAGGCGTGACAAACAGCGAATGGTGGCTTGCAGATAACCTCCTCCAGAATAATGACCTGAATCAAATGAGCAGCCATGGCACAGTGCACCGACTGACCCTGAAGATGGTGAGCACAGATGAATCTGGAGATGTTGCCTTCGTGTTGGGAGAAGAGAAGACTGTGGCCTGTCTTCTGGTGGAGGAGAAGCCCAAAGGTAAAGGAGACGGCACGGTCGCTCCTCACATCCATCTCCATCAACCTCCAAACAGCTTTGTCTTGGCAAATCGAAATATGCTGGCATCATCTTCATCAACATTCTAACTTTAGCATGTTATTCTTTCATGCTTATGCTAACACCAATATCCTAATTTAATGATTCAAACTACTTAACACTGAAAATTGTAGATATTGCATATTGTTTTCAATACGTAATTTTAACCTTAAATACTTGAAAACTTTAAACTAATTATCACCACGTTTGTGAGGTGAGGGGAAACGTTAAAACTGCTTCCATTATCAAATTGAGTTTTGCGTTTCCCATATTTACAGTGCTAATACTAGAGAAACCACACAACACTTCGGCAGTAGAGGGTGAAACTGTCACTCTGGCCTGCACCATCTCTGACACCAAGGCTTCTGTCACCTGGAAGAGAAACAACACGGCCATCCAAGCAGGTCTCAAGTACGACCTGAAGAGTAACGGAGCTCTTCACCAGCTTAGTATCAACAACCTGGTGCCTGAGGACTCAGGAACATACACGTGTGACACTGGAGATGCACAGTGTGACTCCACCTTGACTGTGCAAGGTAAAGACCGATGCCACAAAACACAAAGTGTTGATCAGATTCAGGAATGGGGACGGTGGATTGAAATAACCAGCTGAAATTTGAACTTCCACTTGCCTAAACCACACACCAAGCCTGGCATCCTTGTCATCAGCTAAACTTTTTGTCTAGAGATGTTTGTCTTGTCATCTCAACTATCAGAAGCCCAACTCTCCTTCACCACATCTGATCCCAAACTTTCCCATTTTAAATGTTGATCAGGTGCCCCCGTGTCCTTCCGCAAGGAGCTCAAGAACCACGATGCCATAGAGGGTGATGATGTTACCCTGCACTGCGAGCTGTCTAAGCCAGGTGTTCCTGTGGAGTGGAGGAAAGGAGGCCTGGTCCTCAAACCCGGTAAGCAGTTTGAGATGAAGCAGGAAGGATGCATTCAAGAGCTCTGCATACGGAACGTGGAGCCCGAGGACAGTGGCTACTACACCTGTGATGCGGGAGACCAGCTCACCACAGCTTCTTTGGCAGTGCAAGGTAGCCTATTTCAAATCTGTTTCATCAATCTTCGATTTCACTGACAGTAAGGTTTAATTGTGGCTGTATTCTTCAATTTATTCTTGCAATAGAATAGTAGGTCTGTTCTTAAAACTTGCCTTCGTCTTTGTTACTTGTGATATTGCATGTTTTTTTTAATTCTATCTTAAATAATCTTCTCTGTCCAGTGTATACAAAACAGGCTCAGTGTCTGCATATGATATTTTGTCACTCAACAGCGAAAGAAGTTTCCTTTGTGTGTGGTCTTAAGACCACTGACGTCTTTGTTGGGGAATGGGCAACCTTCTCCTGCCAGCTGTCTGGTAGGGCCCCTCACAAGGTGCAGTGGTGGCTGGATGGCACCTTGCTGGAGAACAGCCCCTTTAGTGAAATAGGGCTGAGCTCGAGCAACATCCACACACTCACCTTAAAGAACCTGGCCACCGATGACTCTGGCACTGTCGCATTCGAAGCTGGCAGTTTAACATCAACAGCCAAGCTCTTAGTCAAAGGTATCATATTGTAAAGATAATCAGTCATTAGAGACTCAGATAAGGAGGCTTTCAGTCTCATTATTGACCCTGCAGAATTGTAATTATACGTTTCACTCCTAAAATTGAAATTCTTCTTGAAAACACACTAGCTGTAAAAGTTGTGTTTTTATCTACCCATTATACAATGTAACAGATGACAATATTTGTCAGCATTTTAAACTAATATGTTAGAAACTTAAATGTATAACATTTCCGAAGTTGGCAACTTGAAATTAACCAATTATAATTTGGCGAAAAACGTCTTGTTGAATATGAGTAAATATTCATTGAATTCTAATGTTTTCTGCAGGGTCCCTTTTTTAAAAATGTTTTCCAATGGATTAAAAGTGGATATTTTTTTCCATTGCATTGCTTCCTCATGCATGGGCCGCACTTTTCCTAATTTCATTAATAATGATGGCAATTGATTACCCCATGCTGTATGCTTTGATACAATTAAAACACGCCACTGGGTGCAGCACCACAGCACAGTTTTATTTGAGTATGGTAGTTTAAAAACTCAAAGATAATTAAACCAGTAAGATGTGCCAATGAAAAATAAATTACCATCTTTTCATTTTAATAATGAAATGAGGACATGGAGCTTAGGTTAATTGGTGACTTTAATTCAAATTGTGTATACGTGTGAATATGAGCATGAATGGTTGTCTCGCTGTTTGTGGCACTCCTCTGATTGACTGGCAACATGTCCAGCTTTGGTTCGGAGTATAGCTGATGGATGCAAACTTTTGCTAACTGTGTTTTACCCTTGGTTCTGCTAATTACCTGTTGGCTTTATTCTTCAAGTCTTAATCATCCTCACTCTTAATGGCTGTGTCAACATTGAAGCAAGCAGAGCTGGTTTGCTAAAATGCGGGGTGCTGCTTGTTCAGTGCGTCTCTGACGTTTCAAAATGTTCTGTTTCCGTTGCAACCGGAAAAAAACTGCCAAAAATAAATGGTTGGACTGCACTGAAACTGACTTGATGGTACTTGTTAGCATCATTGACTCCATTTGGCCACATCTTTCCTTAACAGTGTTGCCAGATCAAGGTAGGGTATTTTCTAAAAACAAAGTGCATATTGTAGGAACACTGATGGATGTGAATGGTTGTGTCAGTTACGTAGCTGGCAGATCTTCAGCTGCATTTCAGAGATGCACAGTTAGGTGGCTATATAATGAATAAATCCCCATTAACGTGGCATTGAAAGTGCTCTTGTCTGTTTTGCAAGAAGAGATTAGTTATCTTATGTCTACACTGTACATATGACAATAAAGCCTTCAAATCTTTAAATCACAGCATTATTGGAAAAAACGTCTGTGATTCAGGATCGCCCAGTTACATTTTTAAAGTAGGAGCTTAAAACATGATTGTGAGAGTGATTATTATATGGTTAGATTTGCAGCCCAAAGTGAACACGTACCTTAGTAATGATTTTAGTAGTAAATCACTAAATATTGACGGACACAATGTTATTTTAAGAAAATGCTGCTCCACCCATCCATGCAGGCCGGCTCCTGTTGAATACTCCTTTACCTTAACTATCCCATCCCATCAAGGCCTGCCCCTAACTTTCAAGCACTAAAAACTCTAACCTCCCTACACCCGCCTTTTTGAGTTTGGCATTTATATTCACCCATCTCCCCTCCTCTCCCATCAGCTGCTTTCACTTTTTGGCCCTTGATCGTGACCATTACTCTAAATCCTGACGGTTGGGCTTTTTGATCCCCTAATCATTTCAGACCTCACGTGGGACAATATAGTGGCCATCTAAAATACTGTACTATGACAAGTAAAAATGTTTCTCGACAATCCATGAAACATAAAAAAAACACTCACATTTAACATCACTTCAAAAAAAATTGGGGTTAAAAAGCCCATCGTCATGATCTGCGCTTATCTTTATATATATTGGTCAAACCCTGACCCTTTGACCCCTGACCCCAACCTCAGATCCCACAGTTGAAGTGGTGAGCGAGCTGGAGGACATTCGGGTGCTCGAAAACCAACCGGCTGAGTTCATCTGCCAGTTCTCACGGCCGGTCAAGCCTCACTGGAAAAAAGATGGGCAGCCATTACAGCCTGATGGCCGAAGGGTGGTAGTGGAGCAGGACTGGAATGTGGCTCGCTTGTACATTAGCCATGTGTCTGCTGAGGACAGGGGAACATACTCCTGTGAGGCAGAGGGGACCTGCGCGGTCGCTTCACTTTTTGTGGAAGGTGAGCTTCCCTGCATTGGGAAAGGGCTCTAACCTCTAGGGAGTCTCCTCTGCTCCATCATATCTTACAGGACAAATGAACTGATCAGTTATCCATGATCAAGTTTCATTGATGAATCTCAAGTTATTTGAAATTCTTTACATTTTTATAATGCTTTCTTTGTTTTTTCGTTTGTTTTCTACAGGAAAACCCATTGACATTGTCCAGGGCCTGGAGAATGTAGAAACCTTTGATGGAGGTGAAGTGCTGCTTGAGTGTGCTCTGTCTCGTCCTGAGAGCAAAGATTGCCACTGGTTCCTCGATGGGAAACCAGTAAAGGAATCCCCTAATGCTGAGATTGTAACATTTGAGAGTGGTCGTCGTCATCTGCTCCTTCTGAAAGAGTTGCGAGTGACAGACAGTTGCACAGTGACTTTCAAAGTTGGCACAGCCTCCACATCGGCCCAACTCTCCGTCAAACGTGAGTCTATCAAATAAAAAACACAAGACTTAAGTTGTTTTCATAGGATTATCTTGTCTGATTATGCATTGTAATCTCATACACTTTCACTGACAAACTTTTGTATTTAAATCTGTGTATTTTCCCTTGAAGGCTGGCAGCTGGATGTTGTGAAGAGTCTGGAGGACAAGGTGGCTGCAGTGGGAGAAAAGGTTGAGTTTAATGTCGAACTCACAGAGCCTGTCCCTTCAGCCGAAGTAGCCTGGTATATTAATGGGGTTGAGATCAAACCCAGCGACCTCTGGGCCTTGAGAGCTGACGGCTGTTGTTATCGCCTCGTCCTGAGGAAGGCCCCTCTAATGCCACAGCAAGAAATTACATTTGCTGCTAGAGATGCTCTCTCTTTGGCCAAGCTCTCCATCATCAGTAAGTGTTTGAAAACGTTTTCTAGCCTGTATGTGAAAATGATTTGAACTTTCAGTTATTTGTATCTTTGTTTTTTTAACACATTTAGTTTTTAAGTTTTAAAATATAAATGTTTGATAGAGAGAAAAATCAGAAGGATACAAATGTAACCACAGTTCGCAAATGGTTCAGACCATAACGTGAAGTTATTTTCATGTTGTGTTGCTTGTGCAATTTCAGCATAAGTGTTTTCTAAGTGCATGATCTTATTATTATTCCAGCTACTTATTTTATATATGTATTCTGGTTATGTACTCTATGTTGCAACTCCACATGTAACAGGATGGACGGATAGTTTGATACTATAAAATAAAGTATACCAGATAGAGATCCCTGTAGTTCTTGATTATTGTTTAATCTAATGCCTGCTTCTTTCCATTTTCACAGCTGCACCTGATCCTCCAGAGGACCCAGAAGTCCTCACTAAGACAGAAAAGTCTGTCAACCTGTCTTGGTTCACTCCTCTACATGATGGAGGGAGTCCCATTCTGGGATACAGGGTGGAGATGCGTCTGGTGGACAGTTCCCTCTGGCTCCCATGTCACTCTGACCCTGTGTTTAACACAGAGTTTGTGGTTGAAAATCTTACAGCAGGGAGTGGCTACAGGTTCAGAGTGGCAGCCACTAACAGAGCTGGGATTGGAGAGCCTGTTGAGATGCCACACACTGTGCAGCTTGGTGAGTGGATGTGTGGTTTAGTTTATGAGAAACTGTACTTCCATTTGCTTGTGTGCCAGGGCTGTTTGCTTATTATTCATAGTTTAACTACTGCCTTTAAACTAAATACCTGAGTCTTGACCTTGAAACCCTTCTCAGAAAGTATTTTTTGGCTTTATATGTTGTACTACTACTACAGTAAATGGCATATTAGCAGTTGAGAAATCTTAAGAAGCTTTATAATTTGCTGTAACATGTTTATTTTGTCCTTTTATTGTTTGACAGAAGTACCAATCCAGCCAGCAGTTTGCCCAGGTAAGGCATTGTGTGTATGGTGTGTAGGCTTTCTTAAACTCAATTTTAAATGTGTCAAATGTTAACAGGGTCTCACAAATAAGTTGGGTGCTGACTTTAATTTCTACATCAATCAATCAATCAACAACTTTATTAATCCCGCAAGGGGCATTTGGTTATGAGCAGCTTATGTTACATTACATTACATTGCATTTAGCTGACGCTTTTATCCAAAGCGACTTACAATAAGTATGTTCGACCAACAAAATACAAACTGGAAGAAAACAGAATCATATAAGTACATCAGGCTTCATAGAGCAAAAACATTTCAAGTGCTACTCAACTTTTCTGACGGTTGAGAGTGGGTTTCTTTAGGAGAGGGTTTACTCTTGCCTCCTTGAGACTGTTTGGAAAGTGACCAGAAGTTAGAGAAGTGTTGATGAAATGGGTGAGAAACGGTAGAATATCAGGAGCGATAGTCTGAAGGAGGTTTGAAGGGATAGGGTCCAGAGGACAGGTGGTAGGGCGGGCAGAGGTAATGAGGGTAAGAACCTCACTTGGAGAGAGAGGGGAAAAGGAGGTCAGTGTGTGGGTGAAAGGAGGGTCTGGTGAGTAGAGGTGAGTCAGAAAAAGAAGAGCGAATATCATCAACCTTTTTTTCAAAGTGGTTAACAAAGTCGCTTGACAGAAGGGAGGAGGGGGAAGGGGCTTTGGGAGGGTCCAGGAGGGAGGAGAAGATGGAAAATAGTTTTTTGGGATTGGAATAGGAAGATTGGATCTTATCTTGAAAGAAAGTGCTTTTTGCCTGAGAGATCGAAGCAGAGAAAGAGGAGAGGAGAGCCTGATAGGTTAGGAGGTCGTCACGGTGTTTGGATTTCCACCATTTCCGCTCTGCTGCCCGAAGGACGGTTCTATTAGCACGCAGTGCATCATTTAGCCAGGGAGCAGGAGGGGACTGACGAGCCTGCCGAGATGTGAGAGGACAGAGAGAGTCCAGAGAGGATGAGAGAGTAGAGAGGAGAGTTTCTGCAGCAGAGTTTGGAGGTAGGAGTTGGAACGAGTCAGAGGAAGGGAGGGCTGAGAGCACCGATGAGGCAAAGGTAGAGGGGGAGAGGGAACGAAGGTTACGGCGGACAAGTGCAGGATGGGAAGAGATTAGTTTGTTATGTTTGGAAAGGGATAGAGAGAATGAAATGAAGAAGTGATCGGATGTGTGGAGCGGGTTTACAGAGAGGTTAGAAGTAGTGCAGTTCCTTGAGAATATGAGATCAAGGACATTGCCAGCTTTATGAGTTGGTGGGGACGGAGACAGTGAGAAAGCAAAGGCGGTTAACAGAGATGTTAGTTCGTCTATCTTCCCCGTCTGGAGGTTGAAGTCTCCGAGAAGTACAGCGGGAGGGCCAGTTTCAGGGATGTGTGAGAGGAGATGATTTAATTCCTCCAAGAAGTCCCCCAAGGCGCCTGGTGGACGGTAGAGAACAACAATGGTTAATTGTATAGGATGGGTTACAGTGACGGCATGGAATTCAAAGGTGGAAGGAGTGAAGTTAGGTAGCTTGAAGAGGGAAAAGCTCCATTTGGGAGAGAGCAGGAGACCAGTGCCACCTCCTCTGCCAGTGGGTCTAGGTGTATGGGAGAAGGAATATGCTGTGGAGAGAGCTGCTGGGGTGGATGTGTTGGATGGAGTAATCCACGTCTCAGTGAGAGCAAGGAAATCCAGAGACTGCAGGGAGGCGTAGCCAGAGATGAAGTCAGCCTTAGGAACAGCTGACTGGCAGTTCCACAGGCCGCCTGAAACTAGATGTTGGATCTCAGTGGAGAATGTGGGATAGACGAGAGCAGGCCGGTTATATCGATTACGAGATACACGGGGCCAGTGATAATTGCGAGAAGACACATAAACAGGAATGGAGAAAATACACATGATTATAGCATGAGGGGCTAAACAACCAAAGAAAAGAAAACACCAGCGATACTTAGCTCAATCAGAGTAGGATTTGCCTCCTCTTTGCCTCCCTCGTGACTCCTGCAGGACTCTAATGTAGAGTCCTGCAGGAGTACACATTACGGATTACACATTGTCATGTACACAGGCAGGAACATGCAGGAAGAAAGCACACAGATACACCCAGGAGCAGAGATTTGGATCATTCCAATTTGCACAATAAATAGTTCATAGCATCACAATAAATAAATAAATAATTAATCAAGTAAAAAAATAAAAAAAACCTATCAAGAATTTTCAAGTTTGAGTGCAGAGGAGATGAATTGTGTTACTATCAACATAGTAACAAACAAATCTCATTGTGGTTATAGGTGTAGAAGCCAAACAGACTGAGGCTGAGATGATGGGACAACCCAGTCTGCCTCCAGAAGCTGCTGAAGAAGGTGATGTTCATGAGCTGTGGGAGGAATCGGCCAAGAAACGCCGCATGAGTCGTGAACCCACTCTGGACTCCATCACTGAACAACCTGAGGAAGATGGTAAAGGTGGTAAAAATAAGTCAGAGAAAGTGGAAAGTAAATCAGAAGAGAAGGAGCTGGCCATTGTGTCTAAGACGCAGGTAGAGTCCAAAATTAGCACCACCTCAGAGGATGAGTCTGTTTCTGGGGGTTCAACGCTTGTCTCCTACCTCAAGAAAAGCAGCACTTCTGTCACAGCAACCAATGAGACAGAGACTTTGACTACTGAGAAGTTCTTTGCACATTTCAAGATGGAAGAGCAGACAGTGCAGGAGTCTAGGGTGGAAACAACCATAATACAGCAGACAGATGCAAAACAGGTGTCAACAGAGGAGACTGAGATCATGGAGATCAGTAAAGAGGATGAGCCTGAACTCAGAGATGCTGCCATTAAGATTCAAGCTGCCTTCAAGGGCTACAAAGCCCGCAAGGACATGCGCCCTGTCTTTAAAGATGCCTTCAAAGACCAGACCAAAGAACCTAACGGCACTATACATCTAGAATGCATTGCAGAAGGTAAACCTGATAAGGTGCGCTGGCTGAAGGATGGAGAACCACTGACTGATGGCAAGCACCACCATATTGATATCTACAATGATGGCACTTGCTCACTGGTTATCACCGCCATCACCATAAAAGATACTGGGGTCTACACATGTGAGGTCACCAACAAGTATGGAGTCACGTCTCACAGTGGTAAGGTCACAGTAGGAACGGAGAGAGAATCATCTGGGCGGCGGCCGCTGACCGTGGGCTACAGTGCCGACAGCGAGCCGGACAGCTCCTCAGGAAGTGAGATGGATGAGTCTCTGAGGCAGGCAAGCAAACGTCTGTGCCGCCTGCTGCGATCAAGTCTCCCTCCGAATGTTGAGGAAGAATCATTTGTCAGCGCAGATGAAGGAGATATGGGTCCTCCAGATCCACACTCTTACCGGGAGGACGACTGTTACATCTACATTCGTTTTGACTCCCGGACAGAGGCTGAGGTTGCTTCAAAGAGGTTTCAGGAGATGTTTACAATCCATGGGGTTCCTGTGGATACCAGCATCCTGGAGGCTGGGCCTCTCAAAGTGGAGCTGCGAATTAGAAAGATGGGCTACATGCAAGATGGCACACAGACCCCCACACAAGAAAGGCAGCCAGTTGCGTTTATGGCTGGAGCCCAGGGTAAGAAACACATGGCTGTTGGATCAAGATATATTTGTAATAGACACTCTAAGTCTAAATCATCAATATTGTGATACAAATATGTTTATTTTTGTGAAGACATTTGTAAGTAGCATGTCATATGCATGTATATATTGTATTTAATTGGCAACAAAGTTAACTACTTAGACACATATACACATCCTTAGCTGTTAGTTCTGTGAATCTGCCAAATAAAAGTGATGTTCATAATTGACCTGTACTTTTTAGGTATTTTTTGATTCTCTGACTATTTGCTTTTGCTACCTAGCTGCCCCAGTCTTCTTGACTGAGCTACAAAGTCAGGATGTTCCTGACGGTTATCCAGTCAGCTTTGACTGTGTTGTGATTGGCAAGCCCCCTCCCACCGTTCGCTGGTACAAGGACGGTAAATTGCTGGAGGAGAATGACCATTATATGATTAATGAAGACCAGGAAGGCTGCCACCAACTCATCATCACCACCGTGCTGCCCACTGACATGGGCGCCTATCGTTGCACAGCTGAAAACAGCAGCGGCATCACTGCCACTAAGGCTGAGCTCAGGGTTGACAGTGAGTAAACTTGCATGATGTGCACACAAACGTTTACACCGCTATTGACAATGTCTCTGTTTTCGTTTGCTTGTTAAATCCTACTCAAAAGTGTCCTCACATTGAGACATCATTGCAAAAGTAACCCTTGTCCAAATTGGTCCAAAATGATTGTAGAAAATGTCTGAAACTCAAAATTGCACAACTACATGTTTCCACACACACATTGTCCCTGATTTTATTGATCACTGATTAATACTATACTTCAATCTTTCCATCAGTGTCTTGCAGCTCAGATTATGACACTGCTGCTGATGCCACTGAGACATCTTCCTATATCAGTGCCAAGGGCTACATGTCCAGGTGAATTTACTTTAAATGTTGTTTTATGCTGTAAAGACAAAAATAAATAAATATATTCTATGGTATTGATAAATACTGAAATCTATATGTATACTGTTCTTCTCTCCTTGTGTAGGGAAACTGAGACATTTGAGTCTGTAGCTGAAGATGATCAGCTTCCACAAGTTGTGGACGAGCTTCATGATGTTCATGTCTGCCCAGGTTCACCTATTGCTAAGCTGCAGCTCAAAGTAAAGGGTGAGTTTACGAGACAATATACCAATACCTGGGCTTTGGATGTCCGCCGATACCAGCCACTGATACATTTCCAGTGTTTAAATAATAAGCTGTATGCCTCACTGTGTGGAAGTGAGGCATCATTCTTCTATGTGTAAAGCAACTTCAAGCTTGACTTAAACTTGAGTTGATTGATAACATTGTTGGTGTTATATTACTACTGCCACCCTTCAAATGTAATAAAACATTCTATTTACATTTTGTCACTGATACTCGATCCAGTTAGTCCTACTAATGAGGTAAACCTACAGAAATGTTATTATGTCAAAAGAAAATTCTCTCAAATACATATATTGTCGTCCAGGCTTCCCCAAACCCAGAATATACTGGTTCAAAGATGGCCAGCCCCTGCGCCCTTCAGACAGGATTCTGCTGCTAGCAGAGGGAGATGTTCATGGTGTTGAGATCCTGGAGGTGAAGAAAGAGGATATGGGAGAGTACTCTGCTTACATCAGCAACGCAGCTGGTTCTGCATACTCCTCTGCCCGCCTGATGGTTCTGCGTATGTACTCACACATCTGAATTGTTGCCTATGCACAAAAAGCCTAAGATACTTTGTTTTTAAACGACTTTAGTAAAACAAATGTTAAGACATTTCAAGATACAAAACTTATTTTCTTTTGCAACAGGTCCAGGTGAAATGATGCCACAAGATAAAAGAGGTAACTTGCAATTATCCTACATGTAGTAACACAGGCGCTTTAGGCAATAATAGTACGTTTTAAAATGACCATGCTTTTGTCACAGACCCCAAGGTGCCCCTGGTGCCGCCCCGCTTCATTGAAAGGTTCAGCAACAGGAAGGTGAAACATGGAGCCAGCATCACTCTGTCTGTCAAAGTAGAAGGTTAGTTTAATGTATTGTGTGCTTGGTTTAAAGTATTTTAACTCCTACAGTAATCTGGGGACATCCAAAATGTTGATCTCTCCTTTCCCTTTACTTTTTCAGGCTCTCCCACTCCAATGGTCTCCTGGCTTAAGGAGGAGTCAGTGGAAGACGTCCTGTGGATAAAGCCTGACACCAAGGGATACAAAATAGCAAGCTCAGGACGCCAGCACAGCCTCATCTTGATGGACGTGGGCACAGAGTACACCGGCGCCTACACCTGCATTGCCACCAATAGAGCGGGACAGTCCATCTGCACGGCCCACCTCGAGGTCGATGATGGTAAGGAAAACTAAATTATTTTGGCACTATCTAGAAATACGTTCACTTTTGAGCAAATTCTTAACCAAGAACACACAAGAGTACAAAAGTGTTACTTCCTTGGTTTGTTTTCTGGGTTTGATTGTAACTGGATTTATGTGTTTATACCCCTTTTCCCTAGTACCACTACCAAAGAAAGAGACCAAACTCTCAGAGTAAGTTATTTTTTCATATTGCACCTTAAAAAAGACATGTACTCTATATACAGCACATTTTAAATACATGTTTATATGAAAATAAAATCTAACATTGAATTCTCTTCAGGGTGTTTGGATTCACAGTTAGTCCTCCAGAAGAGGAGGTTGTCAAAGCAAAAGGTGAGACATATCCCCTTATACACTGGCATTTCATATTTATAGTAATATCATCTCCTATATATATATATATATATATAAATATATAAATATATAAAAATATATAAATATATAAAACAGTTGATATATATATATATATATATATATATATATATATATACAAATCATTTATGCTACTATATATATATATATATATATATATATATAGTAGCATAAATGATTTGTAGTAATACATACTGCAATATTTATGGTGTTTTCTCTCTTTTTGTGTGCCTTAAGAGAGTAAAATGTCCTACCTAGGTGAAGTAGGTACAGAGGAATTCCTCATGAAACTGACAACCCAGATCACTGAAATGGTATCGGCAAAGATGACTCAAGGTAAGTGTATGCTGTGGACGAATTATGTGCAGCAAGGCAAGGATACAATATCTAGGTTTTTTTTTTCTTTCAAGAAAGCTGATTTAAAAATAAAAGATCTCACTTGAGCTAGCCTAAACAGCAGATTCAAGTGTTTCTACAAACCACATTTTTACATCACAAAGCTTATTTGAATAACGGCTTTAAGTAATCAGATAGCATGAAATGAAGCATACATACAAAAAAAATCCCCTTTTGGCTTAGAATATTTACAAAAAACACAGGAAAATGTTTCAGCTCAAGACTTAAAGGTAAAAGGTAAACACTCAACCTGCATGCACAACACATGTGTTCAAATGGGATGAAATAGATTCCCAGATTATTTTTTCAGTGTGGAATTCATTATTATGCTCTTATCATATGTGCAGCAAACTAACTGTGACAAGATAACATGTTGTAGGTCAAAGAATGAAAAATTGCTAACTGCCATGAATGGCTTTGCTAGTTGCTAACGCTAAAGAGGCTAAAGTTATACATGTAATCCACAAATTAAGTTGGATACATGGTTTAATTAACAACATTCTTGGTTGAATTCAAATGAATACTTAAGTTTGGTTGAATTCAGTGAAATTATTCTGATTATACAAGAATTCTGAACGTTTTTAATCTGAATGTGTTAGTACTACAATTCTTGACTTGCCATTCACTTTCCATTACATTTGAGGTGTTGCTGTTCTACTCGCCTGTGCATGCTGTTCTCTATCCATGAGCATATGACTTATTATTGCCTCATACAAACATAATCTCTTTAACACCTGACATCCATTAATTTAGCAACCCAAAACAATCTCATCAAATCATTAATTTGTTATTCAGACAGTTCACAGAATCACGAAGTGCTCCAGTGGATGAAATCTTGGCCCAAAGCTACCAGTATGTATCCAAAGTGCTTCAGCTTCATCATTAATATGCATCTTCCCATTGAGTTTTGGATACAGATGTCTTATATATTATATATGAAGAGCAACTACTTCTTCTTTTGCTATTTCAACATTTTATTTGTTGAAATTTCCAATTTAATTTAAATGATCTTTATATGAATATAAGACTCACCAACTTATAGCTGAAATCTATGCTCACTGACAGACCTGTATGTGTAGAGCTCAGATAATACGTTTTATCTGTAATGTAGCTTGTGTATGCATGTTTTCACAATACTAACACACAGCAAAGCATTAAGAATGAAACTATTGTTGTGGAATTTATTCGTATTCTCTCTACATCCCACTTTTTTCATTAATTTAAACCAATATATAAAATGATCGAAAGGGGTAAAGACTCAATATGTTTTGATGGGCACTACCAAGTAAGTAAAGCACCAGTAGATGCCAGTAAAGAGTCACACAATGCTTTAAATGTGACCTTGAGATGAAGGTCCAGCCTCTGTCAGGCTCTGAAACACTGGCCACCAATAACTGATTCTAAATTCAAGACAAAAACAAGTATCTTCATTGAGAGCAAGAAGGTACAGCATGATAATCATGATACATAACAGTGACATATTACGGTTAAAAGATAGGTTGTTTTAATGGTAAACTCTCCTTTTTTTTCTTCAATTGACCTGTCTTCTTCTGATTGCCCCAGCTTCATTACGCGTACCAGGTGCTGACAGTGATGATGAGACCAAGACTCCTTCTCCTTCACCTCATCACGGCCGCTCTCGTCCTCCCTCTCTCATCGCTGACTCCTCCTCTGAGTCTGATGAGGGGGATGCCAGGGGAGAGGTGAGATATAGAAAGAATCACTGTGATGTAATATCAGTATCAACTCAAAACCCACCTGTTCAAACTGGCATTCTCATCATAAACTGTACCCTGTGTCCTTCTGTAGTCCATTTCCTGTTTGTCTTGTTTTACCCCGGCTGATATTTCACTAAATCCACTGTTTTAATTGTTCCCTATATTGCCCCTATGCCCTGTAAGGTGTCCTTGGGTGCTATGAAAGGCGCCCCCCAAATAAAATATATTTATTGGTCAAAGATATTCATAAAACACTCTTAAGTTATGGATGTGGTATTGAAATAGTCTGTCAGGATTGGAATATGCAGCTTTAATATAATGTGTGCTGTCATTAAAATGCATATTTTTACAGATGTTTGACATATATGTCGCAACGGCTGACTACAACCCCACCATATCAAACAAAGAAGCCATCTCTCTGAAGGAGGGACAGTATGTTGAGGTTTTGGACTCAGCTCATCCTCTCAAGTGGTTAGTCCGGACCAAACCCACCAAAACTACACCCTCGCGCCAAGGCTGGGTCTCACCTGCCTACCTGGACAAGAAACTCAAAGTAGGTTTACAAAAAAAAAATGAATTCATTGTCAAACTCTGAACATTTGTAAAGTTATAAATGTGTGTTCCCACAGCTATCTGCTGATCCGAGTGACCTTCCAGAGAATAATGATGAGGAGGTGACTGAGGGTGAATACAAGAGGAAATTATTGTAAGTAAAGCAAGTCTAAACTCACTTATCGAACAATACATTTATATGATGTATTATAACAAACTAATATTTCATGTCCCTAGCCAACTGATCCAAGACCTGATAAACAGTGAATCACAGTTTGTGAAAGAGGTCGACTTCTTCACCTCCCATCACGTGAAGCACGCAGACAGCCCTGATGCACCGCCTGATGTCAGCAGCCAGAAGGAAGCCATATTCAGGAACATTGATGATATCCAGTCTTTCCACAGCAGGTGAGCTCAACGCTTAATGATATTTTTTAGGAAGAAAGTAAAGAAAATCTCCTGTCTAAAATGTTTAATGCATTCCCGAATATTTTGCTTTTAGGGCATTCCTCCCAAAGTTAAATGACTGTGAAACAGATGATGACGTAGCCATGTGCTTCCTGAAGAACAAGGAGGGCTTTGAGAAGTATCTTCAGTATCTTCTTGGTCAGAGTAAGGCTGAGTCGGCTGTCAGTGACAAGGCCGTTCACCGCTTCTTCAAGGTAACACTAGTTTCTTTTTTCTTTCTAATTTTTGTTAGTTCAACCCATCAAAATCAATCTGATTGTTTTAGTCATTAGGGTGACTATGGACCCGTATAACTACATACATTTAAAAATCTTCCTTTCATGACATTGTAGGAGTACACAGACAAAGTGCAAGCCAGTGCAGACCCTGCAGACCCCCCTGTACGCAGCATCAACGCCAGCCTCCAGCACCCACTGGACAGGGTACAGAAGTACAAGGCGGTCCTCAAGGTGACAGCTTTGACACACGATATGCATGAGAGTTAGGAATACATCCCATGCAAGTGTAGATCATTTGGTTTTAGACCTGTGTTACTGTCACTGCAGTTTTATTGAAATCTCTCCATCAACATCTCCAGGAGCTCATCAGAAACAAGGCAAAGAATGGCCAGAACTGCTGCCTCCTGGAAGAAGCGTATGCCATGGTGTCTGCACTCCCTCAGCGCTCTGAGAATACCCATCATGTCGGCATGATCGAGAACTATCCTGCCACACTGGAAGTATTAGGAGAGCCGATAAGACAGGTAGGCGGAGTTGCTGTGGCTTCCCTGAGTAAAGTGATCTTGGGCAGGATTAAGTTTGTCTGATTGTTTTTGTTTTTAAATGTTTTCCCCTTTTAAAACCAGGGACCCTTCCAAGTGTGGGAAGGCGCTCCTGGAATAAGGACGTCCTCTAGAGGTCATCACCGCCACGTCTTCCTGTTTAAGAACTACTGTATAATCTGCAAACCCAAGAGAGACAGCAACACAAATACACAAGCATATGTCTTTAAGAACATGATGAAGGTGACACTTTTAATTTAATCACTCCTCTTTTCCTATTTTAGACTTAATTCAGAATTGTTAACTTACTGATCACCTGCCTCAATAATGTTTTCTGTATTATTCGTCTTGTTTCAGTTGAATAACATTGATGTGAATGAGATAGTGGAGGGTGATGACCGTGCCTTTGAGATCTGGCATGAGCGCGAGGACTCTGTGAGGAAATACACCCTGCAGGCCCGAACTGTTAACATCAAGAACTCATGGCTGAGAGACTTCAGAGAACTGCAGCAGCGATACAGCACCCCTGCGTGGAGTAAGTGCAACACACAGTCCAAGGATACATTCACACTAATAACAAACATCCTTTGTGCACACAAGTGTTTTAGCTCACACACCTGAGAACGTACATCACAAAATCATTCATGTACAATAGGCGTACATAAACATGAAGCAGACCGTCAACTTACCAAATGGTTGTTTAGTTGTAGACGCTGTGAGAATAGCAGTGGTGAAAGTGGTAAGACCAAAGATGTCTTTGTTTGGACCAGTGATGAGGTGGAACTGTTACCAAATATAACGAATGAGAATTTGTTTGTTTCGGGACAAGGATCCTGTGATGGGGACAGAACAAATCAAGAAGGTCTCATGGGTGTTTTCTGTTCACGCCTGTCCAAACTAAAATACAATGCCAGAGTTGTCAAACTAAAACGGGGTCACCTGCATTTTTAACAAGTCTCTGATTAAGGGGTTTGAAAACCCTGTAGTAAAGTTGATGCTAGATGACGACGTAATGTAGCAAAATGTGCGTGTTTTTAAAAGAAAAAGATACTAGTGTGTGTTAGGGAAATAATTGTCCTAGACTCCTAGATATGACGTACATGACCAACCCTGACGTCTGTTTATCTCCTTTAAGGACATAGGCTGCTTCAGCCATAATGTAATTGTTCCCATTCTGTGACCGGTCAACACTAGGTCACAGATGGTCTGTTGTTGTGGGTGCACTGGGACATTTCCTTCTTTGTTGTTTGTGGACTCCAAGGTATGACATATTCGAGGCCATAAATGACGGACGCAAGTAACTCAGTGTGCCCAACTGGTTAAACTATCTTATCAAAATATGTTGATTACTCTCTGTGAAACTAGTTAAATGGGCTAACGAGAGAGAGGCGCTCCAGAATTGACGTGGCAATCCACCCGTGCAGTCAGACCGTGACTTGTGATGTGAACTCTCCGGCCGAAACTCCAAATAAATCATCAGTGTTTGACATCGAAGCTCCTGCTCTACCGTGTCTCCTTCCTGAGTCGGTGACTCCCATTGCATTGCTACACAGAAGTTTCCCCTACAGTGTGGATGCAGCCGCACTCATCACGCAGAATATATTTCAGCATTCTCCCACTTTCTAACACTGACTTTCTTTATTAATCTCCTTTTACAGGTCGTCCTGACTTTGATGAAATCCTGGCTAATTGCACAGCAGAGCTCGGTCAGACTGTAAAGCTGGCCTGCAAAGTCACTGGAGTCCCCAAACCTACGGTCACGTGGTACAAGGGTACGCCATTTTTAATCGGTCATTTGCTCAAAATGAGAGTAATGCTACTTTGCATTGAGTGACAGACTAATTACTGTATACAAACATTATCTGAAGCCAAAGGTGTTTCATGGTTTACTTGTTGGATGCAGATGGGCGTGCTGTGGAGGCAGACCCTCACCACATCATCATCGAGGACCCTGACGGTTCCTGCACGCTGATCTTGGACAACATGAGCGCAGATGATTCTGGACAGTACATGTGCTTTGCCACAAGCTCAGCCGGCAATGCCAGCACTCTCGGCAAGGTCACTGTCCAGGGTAAGGGATTTATCACGGAAAATATCAGTCACACGGTGCTTCACCAAAATTGAAGTGAAGCTTATTTATATTTAGTAGATCATGTTATTGAAACGTGTATTATATTTGGATATATTTCTTGCAGTGCCTCCTCGCTTTGTGAATACAATGAGGAATGCTACATTTGTTGCTGGTGAGGACACTCAGTTCACCTGTGTCATACAGAGCGCCCCCAACCCCAAGATCAGGTTTGAAATCTTCAGAATATTCAAAGTAAATTCAAAAGGTCCCTTGTAACATCTGTTGCCTTGTGTGTGTTAACCTTTATTTCTCCTCTCTACCTGTGTTATCCGTGAAGATGGTTCAAGGACAGCAGGCTTCTGACTGACCAGCAGAAGTATCAGACCTACAGCGAGCTCCGCAGTGGGGTTCTGGTTTTGGTCATCAAAAACCTGACAGAGAGAGACCTGGGACACTACGAGTGCGAGGTTGGTTGGCATAAAAATAGCAAACTTGCAAGAAAACCATGTGATATTCAAACTGATAGATATAGGGAAAGTATAAACATTGCCTCTATGCAAACATTCTGTTGACTCTTAGCCAGTTGATAAACAACCAACAGGCATTTAAGATTAACAATATATGTTCTGCTTTTGCCAGTTGTCCAACCGTCTGGGCAATGCTAAGTGTTCTGCTGATTTGGCTCCTCCCTCTGCTGTGGCCCGCTCTTCTGAACAGGCCATCACTATTGAAGGTAAGGACACTGACTACATCCTCACACCCGGAGCTGGAGCAAAACATGGTTTTCATGCGGGTTTAAAGACATAATCAGTTGATGTAACTTATACTTTAAGAGTATTGTACCTATGTTGTTAAACTAATCTATTCTGTTTCCTCCCATAGTCACTGAGCAGGAGACGAGAATACCAAGGAAAACCATCATCATGTGAGTGTGAACCACATACAAATTATTTTGTGCCTTACATGTCTCTTGCCTAGATCTGATCTGATCATCTGTGCTTTACATGTCCTTTTAAATATAAAACCAAATTAAACCTAGACTATAAAAGGTTTCATAACTAACTGTGGGATAATTTGTCACCATCAAGAATGTTCAGGGATGATTGTTTCAGGACAGATTATCCTCTGCAGTTGCTCTTTTAGAGATACAGATGCACTGAATGTTTTATTCTTGGCCTTGCTGTTTAGATATTGCTTGCTAAGAGATAGAATGCTTTTAGAGCTCTGCTGTATGTCTATCTGCTTCTGTAGGTGTGTGCATTGCGGTGTAGTATTTAAAGCCTGAGTGCAGGGGATTCTCTCACAATGATGATAGAAAGGATGGGCTGTCTTCACCAGGGTGCTGTCTCCTTAAACCGGCAACTGTATTGCTGATGCTTATGGGAAGTGCTTACTAGTTCTTGGAGTCAGCCTATCCTAGTTAGATTCATATCTCATGTTCACTCTAACTGGTTGCTTTTGTCTCTTCTACAAATTATTTTAATGTCTGTCTTGAAATGTAAACACAGCTCTGGCAACCTTTAAATGGCTTGCTTACTCTGCAACACTGAGCATTCGTGTTTAATGTTTACTCCCTTTTTAAATGTGTTCAGGTCCATGTAAGCCCTCCACCTCTTTGTCTTGCGCTCTAAAATGTTGTTTCTCTTCTCCAGTGAGGAGACTATAACCACTGTGGTGAAGAACCCACGTATGAGGCGACACAAGTCCCCCGGCTTGACTCTTGCTGGAGCCCACCGCTCCGAGACTTCCACCCCAGAGCCCCCCACAGCCAGGCCGAAGAGGATGTCCACTCAGAGAAAGACCACCATCCCCACCCTCTATGTTACTCAACACGAAGGCGCTGAAGCCAGAGCCATGGAGAGCAGGTGGGTGGAGGTCGAGGAGGTCATCGAGTATAAAGTCAATAAATCTCCCAGGGTGTCGAGGAGGAGAGGCGTCTCCCCGGCAACGTCTGAACGCTCATCGACTCCTTTAAGAGCCAAGAGGTCTCCACCTGAGAGAAACCCCAACACCAACAACTCCAACAACAAGCTGCTGGAGCAGGCTCAGCTGCAGGGAGACGTCAGCAGCTCTCCGCTCTCCTGGGAGGAAGAGGAGGGGAGCGTTTCCCCGGATGCTGTCTCTGGAGACCCCCATGAGCTCTCATCCATCCTCACTCAAGCAGGAGAGGACAGCGAGGACATGGACGATGATCAAACTGTCATCTTTGAGCCCGATGATGAAGATGATAACTCTCTCGGTAAGCAAGAGCCTAAGATCCTGACACAAGGAGGCCGTGTTCTGACTCTGGAAGACTTGGAGGATTACGTGCCAGAAGAAGGTGAAAACTACGGCTCTACCAGCACCCCCGCTGCTGAGAAGCCCTGCGAGATCTCGGTGCTGCAGAGGGAGATCGGTGGCTCCGCGGTGGGACAGCCGGTGCTCCTCAACGTGGGCCGGCCGGGCGTGGGGCCGAGGCAGAGGAGCGGCTTCTTCGGCCGCTTCAGGGAGCATCTCTCCAGCAGCCTCTTCACACCTGCGGCCCCCCCAGCCAGCGGAGCCCGGTCCAGGACGGAAAGACACGTCCCCATCCAAGTGAGCCACGCTAAGCTGGAGGTGAAGCCTTCGTACTGCTCCGAGGTGCAGCGGGTCGAGGGCGGGCAGCAAAGCTTTAAAACCAAAGTGTCAACTCAGACCTATGGCTACACTTCAGTGGGCAACCCTGTCACTCTGCAAATAAGTGATAACCTTTATCAGAACCAGTAGAAGCAAACAGTTTTAATTTGGTACCACACACCCTCTTAGTCTTAAATGGGGACATTTCTACGTACATGGTGATAAGACATATCCTAAAGAATATTAGCTGCATATAACAAACCATTCCATTTGGACGTTGCCTAGAAAGAAAGAAGACTCATCTTCTTGAGTCTTTTTCTCGACAAATGGCTAGAGTCAGATGGTCTCTTTAGACTAGGCGAATAAGAAAATGTCACTGTAAGCATGTTTCAACCCAAACTGCTTTGTTACACCTGCATATTCACTCATGCAGTATGCGTTGTATAACATGGTGGGGAGACAGAAAAGGAAATTAAGGTTTGACTGACTTTTGCTGAGTTACATTTTATTTTACAAAAATACATAATGTTCACTCAAACCCAGCTTCGAGTACGGGCGGATCATGAGACAAATGGGCACCACCACCTGTCCTAAATACGAGCAAGACACTCCATTTAGCCTATTATTTTAAGGGTAAATAAAAAGCCTCTAGTTGTATCTCTTTGTAGTTGTTTTGTGTATTTACGTGGTCATGTAGTGTCTCTTTTTTTTGTCTTTGTATGATTTTATGTCTTTTTGTAGTTTCAATCTACTTTGTAATTGTTTTGGTCTTTTTGTTATATCTTTCTTTTGTTGTTTTGACACTTATTGAGCTTGCTTTGAGTCTCTTGGTGGTCATTTTGTCTCTATGTTGTTGTCTTGCCCTTTGACAAAATGGTGTTAGTCTGTTCTCTCTTTGTAGTGGATTTACTTCACTTGGTGGTAGGCCCGTACTAAACATCCATGCCTTCATGAAATCATGATCCTTGACCCACCAATATCTACTGATCCAGACATTATCCCTTGTGATGACTCCTGCTATATACACAAACAGATACATTATATTAAGGTATATAGATTTGATTTCAGTTTTACTTTTGTACCTTTCGAAAATGTTGCCTTTTGCACTCACACAGTGCCTTAGATTCCTGGAGTTAACGTCTACTAGTGAGGCCAGTCTCTCGTTCAGTATTGCTATAAGTATATTTAAATGTGCAACACTGATGATCTGCTATTTACAACCGAACTGTGTCGACCGTTTTGCTCCATGGACTGTTTAAGTTTAATCAAATGTGCTGTCAAGTGAGTCAGTGTGGCAAAGTCACACATACGCTCTACTTTGGTTGTTTGTGCCTTAATTGTTGGTGAGCAGCTTCTTCAAATATGGCATTTATACATGAACATCTATTTGATGGTGAACCTGTTTCACATCCGATCTCTGTGTTTGACTACACTCATGTCATTTACTATAGCGCGAGACATATGTTTCTATCAATAAGTGAATGGTGATTTTTTTTGTGCCTCTTAATGCAGTGCCATTACCTGTCATTTTACAGATATAACAGGGACATTCATATGTGGGTGACAGATATTTAGATGAGTGACTGCATGTATTTGTCTTTGCAAAGCACACGTGTTTATCTAGAGTAACAAAAGCTGTAATGATGTATTTGATTGAGAGAAAATGTTTATGCAAAGTACTTGAGCTCACATAATTTACTACCTTGCCAATTTAAAAAATGACTAGAAAACAGGAACTTAAAGATGTGTGGTGTTTGCGTTGTTTCTTAAAGGTATTCTAGAAAGTTACAAGTATAATATTATGTATTAATGGACTAACAGATTGTAATGCTTATACTGTACATGTGTAGTTTTTTGAAAGATGTTTGAATATTCAGTGTTAATAAATATATGTATTGCAAATAATAGCCATGGCCAGTTTCTTTCACAATAAATAGCACACAACATTTACGTTTCAACGGAACTAAAAACGTAAGTATACGTAAAATGAATACTGAAGTAATTTGGATTATTGGAATCTTTGGAAAAAACATACCAAACTACAGATGGTTCATCAGGTTGTCCCCAGGTTCTCTAAATAGTAGAAGTTGAGAAATACTATTACTTTTTTTTTTCAACATAGGCTACATACTATTACTTTTTTTCCTATTTATCGACATACCATACTACATAACTGGTGTTATGTTTATGGTGTCATTTTAAAGTTTAAAATGACACCATAGACATAACACCAGTTATGTAGTATGGTATGGTATAGTAGGCCTACTTGACTTTAACATTTAAAGTCAAGTACCTGCCTTTAGAACAGTGCTTCTCAAAGTGTGGTCCGCGGACCACTGGTGGTCCGTGAGCGCCCCCTAGTGGTCCGTGAGTATATTGGTAAAATGTCACATTTGAAATAAATACATTTAAGTTTTCCGCACTCTCGCGGGAATATCGCCGCAATGGAGCGAGCTTAAGTTTCATATATAGGTATATAGCCCAGATAAACACCTTCATCACACATGTGGCCACTTGTTTGTACCATTTTCAAGCGATTTGTAAAAAACGATGTGTTTTTGGATATTTGTGGAGTTAGGTGGTCCGCGAGTGTTTTTTTATTGGTTAAGTGGTCCTTGGTATGAAAAAGTTTGAGAAACACTGCTTTAGAACAATGGGTTTACCTGTTACAGTGATAGACAGTGACGTGAATGGCAGCCGCTGCTGGCTGCTTTGTGACCAAAAACAAATGTGGACAGCCAGGGCCGGCCCTGACCAATTTGCTGCCCTAGGCAAGATTTTAGCTGGCGCCAAATGCAGACACTTACACTTACTATGACTCGTGCGTGCACGGTTGTGGCATGACCACCAAAACAGAAAGATATGGACACAAGGGTTGCGTTCCGATAATCCAAAATCAGCTCCTAAATTCTAACCCTATCTCCTATTCCTTGACCTCTGAGTGAAACGTCATGGGGTTAAGGCAGGGGTGCCCAACCTTTTTTTAACCGAGAGCTACTTTTAAAGTTGCCAGTCTGCCGAGATCTACCAGTCCAAATAGAGAGGCGTAGTTACTGACAGCCTACTACCAGGTAAATACACACTTCTACTTGTATAAAACTGAACTTTGTACGATTAATACTTCATAAAATACTGCAGATCCTTTATCTTACCTCTTTCTAATCTACACACATACAAGTATTTAACTGAAGCTACACAACAGTGTTGTTGATACAGAGTTGGAGTTTATTCACACGTCACACTACAGTGGGTAATGTTTTCAAGAAACATTGAACAGTGCTGCCACATATGACACAGGGAAAAAGAAAAGACTCTGAACCCTTTCTTTGCCATTATATAAAAATAGTGTTGCTACAAAAGTATAAATTAGGCTTATTAATAACTCAGATCTGAAGCTACACAGGAATCTGCTGCCAAAGTGCAATAAAAAAGACAACATTAATAGAATCAAACCCTTTTTTTGTTGCATTTTAGTAGATTATAAAAATAAATGCCTTTAAAATAGGATGCCAGCAACACTAGTTTCTTAACCTGAATTGATAATAGACTATAATCAATTTAAGTTTGCATTCTTATACTATTTTGTACAATAATTATAATGAATAAGTTCAAACAAACTAAAACTTACAGCTGATTAATAACGGTATCTAACTTGAGTTTTTATTATATCAAAAACCTGTTGAAATGCTACTGTTATTTTTTACTGTCCCCCAAAAGCGCGTCGGCAGCCTCCAGGAATGCTTCTTTCACAACTTCGCCGTCTTTGAAAGACTTCATGTGTTTCTCAAGAACGTGACTGACACGATAAGATGCTATGGTAGCAGCCTTGCTCTTGTTGTTGGGCCGGGTGAAAATGGACTGCTGTGCATTTAGCTGTCCTTTCCGTCTCGTAGCGTTTGTGCACTGTTTTGAAATGCCGCTCCTAAATTAGAAAATTACCCTTCTTCGATAAAGCCACGCTCGCATTGCAGATGAGACAGATGGACTTTGAATTGGAATAGATACAACAATAATCATCCTCCCACTCGGAGTGAAAATTATATATTTTGGGCTTTTTTGCTTCTGCCATAATTGCGGCCCTGTGTGTGTGCGGACTGTCACTCCTGTTGACACGGACACGTTGGACAACGTCAGCGAAATAGTGCACTGCCCACTGCCGACCAGCCACGCCCCGACACAGGGTCTAGCCGGCCAATCACAAAGCTTTGATGCGTTCAAGTGCATTATTCTGGCACGGGAAGATTATGTTATAGGACATTAACGATAAAACAGAATATTGTTGTTCTATTTTTAGACAGATCTCGCGATCGACTGGGAATCTCCCCGCGATCGACCGGTCGATCGCGATCGACTGGTTGGGCACCCCTGGGTTAAGGGATAGTGGATAGGAGAATTCAAAAGGACTTAGGAGAAGAGACTGCGGTACTTTAGAGAATCCGAATGCACTTTCACTATCCGACGTGTTTATGATGCGCCAGCGGACGTCATGAATGTGCGTCTGCTGCTGTGGGGAAACTATGGAAACTAGTTTTCTATACAGCGGACTACAACATGGATGTTTAATAAGAACGAGGGACTACTGTAAACTCATCTAGAGACTCTGCACCGTGCTCTGATGCTATTGCTTTATGCTTTATGAACGTGGACAACAGAGAAACATATTCTTCATGACCAAAGTTGGAATTGAAATAAAAAGGAAAGTGAAACTTATGCTCGTCACCCTCTCCCTCCGGTCCACATTAATACAAATGATCCCAATACGTATGATTGTATGAACTATGAAAATATCTTAAAATCAATACAAATGTATTTATTATAGACGTTAGTCCTTAACATCTATCACTGTGTATATCACCATTCAAACATCTTTTAAAAGTTGAACAAACTCCACACAGCTCAGTAAAGACTGTGAGATGTTGACTTTATTTGATCATTTCAGTAAAAACTAACGTTCATATTTCTCTTTGATTATAATACTGATGAACGTTCAAAACAAAGCACTTTGGCAACTTACCACATACGTTTTAAAATGCTTAATAAGCACCGTAACTTTCATGATATAATTTCTCGGTCATAGTTGGTTGTTTCCGTGAACTGCCGACTGTTGAGTGACGGCAAATGCTGCGGCTGCAAGGCATTGTGGGGCAGCATTTTCTCCTCTCCTTTCGGTTAGGGAGGTCCAGTGGTTCCTAAGCTAAAGGAGGTTATAAAGGAAGTTTGAAACCTCCTTTCCTTTCATTTGGAGAATTGGAACGGCACTTATCATGGCTGCCACTGAGGGACTTCCGGGTCATTTCACTTGGTTAGGAAGGTTCCTAAGCTAAATGGACTATTGGAACGCAACCAAGATGTGTGCAACTGTATTTAGTTTCCTATCCATTTGAACATGATTTAAGTGGGGGGGGACCTCACCTCCTCTAGGGGGGTCCGGGGGCATGCACCCCAGGGAAGACTTTTTATTTTTTTATATTGAAGATAAAAGCATCAATCTGGTGCACTTTGAGAGCAACATTAGGAAATCTATGGATACATCTCTCAACACCCATATGAAACAGAACTGTAAGTAGATTTTCTTTTTCTTTATGGTTATTTTACAAATCACTCCCCTTTCAAACTGTATTCTTGTTTATTAATAACAACTTTTTTTGTACTGTTCAAACGACAAATATTATTACTACAGCATCCAATGATATCAGTGTTTTCGGTTTATTTGATTTAAAGGGGACCTATCATGCAAAATGCACCTTTGTACGTCTTGTATACATGAATATGTGTCCCCCCCGGTGTGTCACGGAACTCACCAAACTGTGTCAGAAAACACAACCCTCTCTCTTTTCCTCCATACCCAAAATCTGTAAAAACGGGGCTTTAACGGATCTGATATGACTGATACAGATTTGAAAATAGTCTGACGTCAGTGACGAGGAGCACCGCCTATATGGCCAACTCTCCACCAATCAGGGGAATGAGAGGTTGCCGTAGCATGGTAACAGCATGGTAACATGACGCTCGTAACTCTGCCCCCTCCTTTGCAGGGGGGCGTGGTCAGCTGCAGCATGCAAAGACAGGGGTGGAGTAGAGCAAAATGAGGCATGGCTAAAATGCATGATCTGTTTGGTATTTTGAAAAAGAAAACGTATAAATATACCTTATATAGGTATGGCCCTACAATATATTATTCAAATATAGCATGATAGGTCTCCTTTAAGATGGTCTAATCTTACCAATTTGTGAATTAAGTGCGCTTTACTGTTTAAAATATCTATGTTTTTGTTTAATAACTACCTATATTTACATATAACATGGATCCCCGTTAGCTAACTAAAAACGTAACACTTTAAATCTATTTTTGTTGTATTTCAAAAAGTTGTATTTTTTTAATTGAATTGAATGAGGTTATGAACCTTTCTTGGCCTGTAAAGTAAGAAGCCAAGTGTTTTACATTTGTTTTTCTTCAGATGACCAAAATGTGTCGTGAGACAAAAATCCTTATATTTGCATAAAATCTTGAAAACATAAAATCATAAAACATAAACTCTTGAAAAGTTGTGTCTACTTTTGTTCAGTTCAATGCTTTTACTCTGATTTATAATTTTAAAAAAGCACTTGAAAAAAAAAAGTATGTTTAACAACAACCGACAGATAAACCTAACATGCTTTTAGCAGTTTTATTAAAGCTTAAGGTGTTGCTGTGGCCTTACAGACCCATGCGCAAACACTCGGAGCAGGGTTTTAGAAGAAGCCCTTGAACCGGGGTCTTCTCCTTCTTCTTCTTGGAGTTCAGACTCTGAAGGTCCGTCAGCTGGGACTTCAAGGAGGATTCTGCTTTCTGCCACTCTTGCTCTTTCGCCTGCAGATGGTTTTTCAGCCAGTCTGTGCTTTGAAGCAGGGTGGATTTCTCCTCTTGCCACACTTGCTCCCGCTCCTGCAGATTCCTTTCAAGCCTCAGTGAGGCCTGAAGGAGGGTCGACTTACAGCTCTTCCACTTCTGCTCTTTCTTTCGCAGATTGTGCGACATGTTTGTTGAGTCCTGACGGAGGGTTGGCCTGTTCCCTTGCCACTTGAACCACTTCTTCTTCTCCTTCTTTTTGAGGGTTTGGCACTCAATCTGAGACTTTAAGTAGCTCTCTGTTTCCTGCCACTCCTCCTTCTCCATCTGCTGATTATATTTCAGCCTTTCTTTGTCCCGCAGGACGGTCAACCTGTCCTCCTCCAAGTGGATGCAATTACGCTCCATCTTCTGCACAGCCTCGCTCAGATTGTCCACAAGCTTTTTATTTGCCTGCTGCTGCTCCTCGAGCTGAGTCTCGTAGGAAGTCTTTGTTTTCCCAAACTCCTCCATCAGCTGTTCAAAGACATGATCCCATTCAAGATGTTCTTCTGCTTTTAGCTGAAGCAAAGACACAAAGGTCTTTTTTTCCGATGCATGCATCTCTAGCTGGGCAAGATGGATGACATGGGATACCTCCAGCTTTGCAGTGAGAACAATGTTCTCCTCCTGCCACTGGAGAGTCCTGATCTTCAGCTCCTGCTGAGCCTCATTTAGAGCGCCCATGAGCGTACTAGTTTGTGCTTCCAGTTGAGCGAGACAGGTCGTTTTCGATTTCTCTGTCTCCTGGAGATCAGTGATCTCTCGCTGGAATCAGAGGCGCTCAGTCTGCAGGATATCTTCCACCTTTTTCAGGGCTGCTGTGGTCTTCTTGGTCTCTGCTCTCTCAAATTCGAGATTGCTCTCAAACTCCAACTCCAGGTTGGTTTTTGACTAACAGAAATTAAGGGTCCTCCTCAGTAGAGTTGAAATCAATCAATTCCATATTTGTTTCGTGCTGGAACTGAATGTTTTAACTGCTATGTCTGTTTTTCTGTCTTCTCTTTGAAAGGCTGGTTGTCAAATGTGACCAAAGTGGCTGATGGAATGCACCTCCCTGTAGTCCGGGGTTCTGGACTTCTGGACTGCACACACACACGATTTAAACGCAGACTTCTGTTCCTCCATGTTTCGTTGTTATCGTTTCACTGAGCGGACCCGCCCCTTTTCTTTTTAAAACGCTCCCTTTTTTGGTCCATCTGCGGCGGTAGGTTTTGTGCGCTGTGATGATTCGGCTGTACCTTTAGTAATGAATATGAAATGTTGTGAGGAAATCTTTCCACCAATAATTCCAATAAGTAATCCAAAATGTATTCACTTCAGGTTTACGAAAGTAACTGTCAGATTACTCGTTTTTCAAATGTAACGCGAGCTGAATACAGTTGGCCTACTTGATTTGTGTATTCTGTACGTAACGCTGTTATACGTATTCAGTTACAACCCAACCCTGCACACACACACCACTGCACACCGGTGCTACACACCGCTGCAGACTCTCTGCACGTAGGAGCCGCGGTGCTGCAGCTCCTGATCGGAGCAGAGACACACGTTCACTAAGCGGAAAAACTATATCCTGTCACAGAGATCTGCTATTTTAAAGTAAAGTCAACACATATCGACCCTAAATAAAGTCTATATTAAGAACGAGAGATGTTTTAACATATGGCTTAAACAAATGAGCGAGGGTGATGACGCCAGAGCATCGTCCTATGTGCCGGGCTGAGCCCCGGCCCAATTTAACCCCTGGCTGAAGCCTACCCCAGCCATACTCTGACCGCAAATACCTCATTCCTTCCGTCTACTTAGATCCGAAATGCTTCTCGTTTTGCGCTGTCCCCCCGTTCAAATGAAATTGCAGCCAATCATATTTCCACGCTTGCGCCAGGGGGGGGAGGGGTTACAAAGCTCGCGTCTTGTGCTGCATTCACTTGCAATCGGACAATAGATATGTATCTCATAAACTTTTCTTTCAAAACAAAGCTGCCAGCTGGGGTGCCAAGGCATTTTTCTGAGGTGGCAGCTTCCACCCCGTAGAACCGCCACTGGTTATCGGTATTTGTTAGGTGTGCCTATTCTTACCACACATTCCCTTTTTACAAACACTCATTTATATGTAGCCTACAGAAAACAGATTGTTTATATATCTGGTCCATATCATCCACACACAGGTTCATGACATGTTATTTGTTAAGATTGAGCTCCTACATGACTTAATTCCCCTGAAACTCACCAAAGTTTCCTATATGACCTTTCAGCAAAGTTCCACATTTATTGTTCAAAATCATGACCTCCCATTACTTTAATTGCATCATGACACACACAAAATATAATCATACAAAATCTACAAGTAGGCTACTGTATGTGTGTTTTAGGCAACAAGATTGTGTTTCCAGCTCTCAGTGTTAAACTGATATCAATCTTTGTTACAGACCTTGCCATGGTCTTAAAAATGCTGTACAGGATAACAGCATAAACCCTACTTATATGTTTTACAGTAAAGGAGATTGGCGTGCTTTATTATGAGTAATATAGAAAAAAAGTAAATCATGACATTTATTTTTTCCTTTAACAAGTACAACTTATGTCATTTTACTGTAGTGACACTGCAAAATGATAGTTACACAATATAAAAGTTTACAAATATACAATTGAAAAAATAAACAGTAAAATTGTTGTTGTAGAGCCCCCCCGAACAAGGCAAGGGGACTTTAGATGTGTTTCTTTGTTATAAACACTTGTTACCTTTATTATGAGATGTATTCCTACTAGAGCCCTACATGATCTATGTTAAATGGAGATTTGTGACAGTTTACCCAAATCTTTTACAAAAAAGTTCAAAGCACTGGACTAGTTTTATTATTTCAACAGTAAAGTTAACTTGAAAGTAAACAGCCACCATGTTTTTCTCTTCATATATCAGTTGTAATGCTGAGCTTTCAGATGAATTTCCTTCTTTAACTACATGTGCAGATATCTGCATCTGTAAATCTATTTTCCAATCAACACAATATGACCGCTTACACAAAGGACATACCATAACGTGTTACCACTTATCAAGATCCACCAAGACTTTTCCACACCCTTGGAAGTTCACGGTGAAATGAGTGACGTCTCTTTGTTTGTGTGAGTCCATGTTGGTGTTGGCAAAGCTACGAGCAGTAGAAACAAAGGCTAACCGAGCATCCAGCATACCATGCCAGTATCATACAAAGTAAACATTATTGGAGTCAATTTGTTCATAAAATAAAAATATGGAAAGGTTTAAATGTCAGTAAATAAACTGATGTTTCTTAGTACATTATCATTTGGTAATAACTACCTATAAACACAATATTTAAGCCTTTCTGTATCCGCTAAGCGATGTGTTTGCCTTAGCTTAGCAAACCATCTGAGGGAATGTTCACAACGGGAATGGAGGTCTGTGGTTGTGACAGGAGTGGCTGGACGGGACAGAAAAGGTGTCGGGAAGCTGCTCCTACGAAGACAAGCTGGCTTTCTTGACCATATTGATTTCCTAGAGAAAGACAAAACGTTTTTTTATTATACTCCCAATACAAGTTGATGATGTTAGTCAAACAAATCTTCAACAATGAGTAATAAAAGCCCTGGACACATATCATGCATCACTGCTTACCAGGGGGAATTTACATCCGTGCAACTCAACAGAATAGCTCACAGTATGTTATTTATCCATATTTATTATTGATCATTCAACAGCCACCGTTATAAAGGTGTTTTTTTTGTTTTTGCCAATGAGCTCACAGTGAATATAACTCCCAGATATATAGAGTAGGCAGTAGTTAAGATTTATTTTGGACAGCCTGAGATTTTCTTCTTTACAAAGTCAGATTCAACACATTCTCGCACATAAAAACCTTCTCATTCAGTGTCCAAATTTCAGGGGGTATTAAAATGCCTATTTTTTTATAACTCAAAGCCGTAAAACTATTTTTGATATGTGTTGATTATTGAATCGATGGTTACTGCAATGGTTACTCACCTCACTGAGAGCTTCTTTTAACTGCCCATAGGCTTCGTCCAAATGATCATTGATAATAAGAACATCAAATATATCTGGTTCTTTACCTGAAATGAGATAATATTATGTTCAGTCATGTTTTTTTAAACATTGGTGTAGTTATGTTTTTGTAAATAAATAATAAATACATACCAAACTCCATGTCCACTTGAGCAGCATGCAAGCGCTTTTGGAGGCTCTCCTCTGTTTCTGTCTTTCTGTCTCTTAAACGTTTTTCCTGATACAATACAGAAGGCATTCAGATATGATTCAAAGAGCATTCAAAACCTGTATGACTAGTTATCTGTGGTTCAAAGCAAACTCAAGGTCACACCCAGGAACTCCTCTCAGGCAGGCCACCAGGAACTTCTCAAATAAAATAAACGTCCTTCTGTGCTTACCAGGACTGCCATGGACGGCGGCTGGATGGAGACGTAGATGGGATTAAGGTCTGTCTTCTTGATGTTCATCACACCCTGCATGTCGATGTCGAGTATACAGATGAGGTTTTTGGCCTGGACGGCTTGTACGGCAGCTTTACTCGTCCCGTACATGTTCCCCGAAAACACTGCGTTCTCAATGAATTCGCCTTTGTCAATGGCTTTCTGCATCGCCTCTCGTGTGACATAATGGTAATCTGAAACCCAGGAAAGGAGACATCCACAATATAACAGATTGAGTTACACTTTAACAGACACAATAAAGGTGATTTACTGTTATAGTGGTTGTAAAAAAGGAGGAACATGTTTTACCTTTGCCATTCACCTCTCCAGGTCGAGGATTTCTAGTTGTATCTAAAGGATAAGAAGACATTCATGTCATACTCTGTATTTTATTTCAATTTTTCTTATTTTTTTTATCCTTGGTCCATAAAATGCAAATATATTCGGTTTCCTGTTACTCTAAAGAAAGAAAAGCTAATCATTTTATTTTGGAACCTGGAAACAGGGAATGTTTGGCATGAAAAGGGACTTGAATGGTATCATAGAAACATATTCTGTGCATCGACTAATCAAATAAGTGACTTTATGTTGCAGTTCATGTAAAAAAAACGAATGCCAAAAATGTGCTGGGTCCATCTTCTATATTCTGAATATTTAACGATTATCTGTTTTATGCACCACACATCTTTATTCAACCAAAGATGGGAAAATGTTGAGCATTTTCTTTTTGGGATTTTAGATTATTATTTTTTTTGAACTAATGAATCAGGAACATAATCAGCAGATCATTTGATGAATAAAATAATAAGTTATTGCAATTTCAATTGAAAAATGAAATGTGTTTTGAGTAGAAATGTTTACACCCATATACATCTCCTGGATCGATGGTATGATCATTGACACAAAAAAAGATTGATAAAAACACATTCAAATCTAAATGTTGGCAGAGAGTGGCACACTTACGGGAGACGCTGAAGCCAAAGACACTGTCGTACTCCTTCATGAGCTTCTTCAGCAGAGTGCTCTTCCCCGCCCCCGAGGGGCCGCTGAACACCACAGGCCTGGGACCAGCCATAGCTGCAGCAGAGATGAGAGGAGGAGAGGTTAGTGAAGGAAACAAGTGGGTGAGGCTGGAGCCATGACACATCTCCACTAAAATCCTCTGGCATGAGTCATTGTGGGACCAAATGTCTGTGCAAAAATATATTTCTTTAGAAAGATTTCACAAAGTAACCAAGGGGTTTCCAGGCTCAGACAAGCCTCGCTCAGTCCTGTGAGATAAATATGATGAAATGATAAATCAGCGTTTTTGTAAAGGTGGACCGAATTAAGAGACCAAAACATCTCCCAAAAGAGCAGAGGCAATTGGCCGGTTGGCAAGCTGTTGGGTTACCATGGTGCAGAAACACTTACTCACTAATCGGAGAGCCCTTATCTGATTGTGATTGCAGGGGGAAAAAAAGGCAAAGAAAAACCATTGCATAACAGGGAATGCTGCCATCAACAAAGACATGAGCTCATATTAAAGTGAACTTCCTTATGCAACAATCCATTCACTGACACAACTATAGGCATACTTGCCCTCGCAAAGACATGTTTAGATATTTAGTTGTATTAAATAGAGTCCTTACTCCTTTCTGTATATATAAATAAAGGTACAAAGTGTTTTACTTTACCTAATTGTTACATTATAACTATTACTGACTTGTCAATCTTCTTCCGTTGCTATTAGACCTGAATGACTCTGAATGAATTCATAAAGATTTATCTTTTCTTTTCTCATATACCGTACTTTACAATTTAGCAAAAAAGCTACTTCAAAATCTTGCAGTATATTCTACACAACTTTTCTTTCAGTGCCAGTACTTCTAAGGTACTGTAAGCTGTAAATTAAGATGAAGGTGTGTTCCTGCTTACCTTCCGTCAATGCGCACAGAGCTCAAGCAGATGGCTCAAATGAGCAGGAAGATGTGATGTGTGTGGGCAGATCGAGTACAAGCACAGGAGGGAGGGGACACAGAGAGGGCAGGGCCATGTTTACACACTAGTAGATTTGGTTTTTCATAGAGCTATATTTTAAATGTTGAGTAGATGTGTCCAGAATGATGTAGTTATACGACCCGTTTGTGTGTTTTGGTTCTAGTCCAAAGGCTGAGAAGAAACCCTCAATTCTGTTTGTTTTTTCTTTTCTACAATTGAAGAAATCAATGCAATAAGAAGAAGTCGCTTGGTTCTCAGTAACGACTATGTGCATCTTTCAAGCAAATTGTTGCAACAGGAAACACGCTATAGAGTTACTATTGCGCTACTCAAAGAAATACAGTGAGAAGATAATGTCTACCATTGTTCTTATTAGTTATAGGTCTATTGCTATTTAAACGGCAGGCATCAGTTCAAATTCAAAGGTTTATTGTCATATGCACATTAGGGCTGCTCAATTAATCGTATTTTAAATCGCAATTGCGATTTTGGCTTGAAACGATTATGAAAACAACATAATCGAAATAAAACGATTATTTATTTTTAAATTATTTTTTGTATTGGTTTTTCAGTTGAATTATACTTAAAGTTAAAGAGCGGGGAAAGGACAGAATTAATTGGGTGTCGTCAGCGTAGCAGTGGTATGAAAAACCATGCGGGCTAATGACTGATCCGAGCGAGTTTGTGTACAGGGAGAAGAGGAGGGGACCAAGAACAGAGCCCTGAGGGACCCCTGTAGTTAATTGACAAGGTCGGACTCAGACCCTCTCCAAGTCACCCTGTAGGTACGGTCTTTCAGATATGAGGTGAGGAGGGAAAGTGCAGAGCCTGAAACTCCAAGTTTTTGGAGAGTGCGAAGGAGGATCTGATGATTCACCGTGTCAAATGCAGCAGACAGGTCCAACAGGATGATGACAGAGGAGAGGGATGATGCTTTGGCAGTGTGCAGTTCCTCAGAGACAGCAAGGAGGGCAGTTTCTGTGACCTGCCTTGAAACCAGACTGGTGCGGATCCAGAAGGTTGTTCTGATGGAGATAGCAGGAGAGTTGTTTAAAGACAGCGCGTTCAAGTGTTTTAGACAGGAACGGGAGTAGAAAGACAGGCCTGTAGTTTATAACATCAGACGGGTTGAGAGTGGGTTTCTTCAGGAGAGGGTTTACTCTTGCCTCCTTGAGACTGTTTGGAAAGTGACCAGAAGTTAGAGAAGTGTTGATGAAATGGGTGAGAAACGGTAGAATATCAGGAGCGATAGTCTGAAGGAGGTTTGAAGGGATAGGGTCCAGAGGACAGGTGGTAGGGCGGGCAGAGGTAATGAGGGTAAGAACCTCACTTGGAGAGAGAGGGGAAAAGGAGGTCAGTGTGTGGGTGAAAGTAGGGTCTGGTGACCCAGCGGTGAGTAGAGGTGAGTCAGAAAAAGAAGAGCGAATATCATCAACCTTTTTTTCAAAGTGGTTAACAAAGTCGCTTGACAGAAGGGAGGAGGGGGAAGGGGCTTTGGGGGGGTCCAGGAGGGAGGAGAAGATGGAAAATAGTTTTTCGGGATTGGAATAGGAAGATTGGATCTTATCTTGAAAGAAAGTGCTTTTTGCCTGAGAGATCGAAGCAGAGAAAGAGGAGAGGAGAGCCTGATAGGTTAGGAGGTCGTCACGGTGTTTGGATTTCCACCGTTTCCGCTCTGCTGCCCTAAGGACGGTTCTATTAGCACGCAGTGCATCATTTAGCCAGGGAGCAGGAGGGGACTGACGAGCCTGCCGAGATGTGAGAGGACAGAGAGAGTCCAGAGTGGATGAGAGAGTAGAGAGGAGAGATTCTGCAGCAGAGTTTGAAGGCAGGAGTTGGAACGAGTCAGAGGAAGGGAGGGCTGAGAACACCGACGAGGCAAAGGTAGAGGGGGAGAGGGAACGAAGGTTACGGCGGACAAGTGCAGGATGAGAAGAGATTAGTTTGTTATGTTTGGAAAGGGGTAGAGAGAATGAAATGAAGAAGTGATCGGATGTGTGGAGCGGGTTTACAGAGAGGTTAGAAGTAGCGCAGTTCCTTGAGAATATGAGATCAAGGACATTGCCAGCTTTATGGCAAAGGCGGTTAACAGGGATGTTAGTTCGTCTATCTTCCCCGTCTGGAGGTTGAAGTCTCCGAGAAGTACAGCGGGAGGGCCAGTTTCAGGGATGTGTGAGAGGAGATTATCTAATTCCTCCAAGAAGTCCCCCAAGGCGCCTGATGTACGGTAGAGAACAACAATGGTTAACTGTATAGGATGGGTTACTGTGACGGCATGGAATTCAAAGGTGGAAGGAGTGAAGTTAGGTAGCTTGAAGAGGGAAAAGCTCCATTTGGGAGAGAGCAGGAGACCAGTGCCACCTCCTCTGACAGTTGGTCTGGGTGTATGGGAGAAGGAATATGCAGTGGAGAGAGCTGCTGGGGTGGATGTGTTGGATGGAGTAATCCAGGTCTCAGTGAGAGCAAGGAAATCCAGAGATTGCAGGGAGGCGTAGCCAGAGATGAAGTCAGCCTTAGGAACAGCTGACTGGCAATTCCACAGGCCACCTGAAACTAGATCTTGGATCTCAGTGGAGCATGTGGGATAGACGAGAGCAGGCCGGTTATATCGATTACGAGATACACGGGGCCAGTGATAATTGCGAGAAGACACATGAACAGGAATGGAGAAAATACACATGATTATAGCATGAGGGGTTAGAAAACTAAAGAAAAGAGAAATAAGACACCAGCTCAATCAGAGTAGGATTTGCCTCCTCTTTGCCTCCCTCGTGACTCCCGTAGGACTCCAATGTCTTTGTCAGTCTTACTCCCGTAGGACTCCAATGTCTTTGTCAGTCTTCGGCTGTCTGGCGCTTAAGCTGACGCTCCAGGAAAGAGCTACCTAAAATGGACGCCTGATTGCTGAGTTCTCACAGCTGTAGGGGCACGCCCCTCTAATTAGTTAACTATCTACAGCTGATGGGCGACAATAGACTGGCCCTGCCTATATTATAATGCAGGATTCTACAATAACTACAGAACAATTATACAGAGTAGAATAAATGATACAGAGAAGTCTAATTAAACAAGAATATAACTTACAGTGGTTGCTGCGTCAATAGGAAATGTCGTCACCCGGTCAGATGTACACTGAGTTCATCAGATTTTAAATGCGGTATTTAAATGCTTTTTTAGGTGAAAGATGACTGAGTCACGCGGTTGTACTTCATGCAATCAATAGACTGGCCCTGCCTATATTATAATGCAGGATTGAGAGCTGAGACCTGTGAAGCAGGTTTCGCCTGAGCAGATCTGAGATTTAAAATCTCTCAAAAGCGATTTAGCCGTTTTAGCTACAATAACTACAGAACAATTATACAGAGTAGAATAAATGAAACAGAGAAGTCTAATTAAACAAGAATATAACTTACAGTGGTTGCTGCGTCAATAGGAAATGTCGTCACCCGGTCAGATGTACACTGACTTCATCAGATTTTAAATGCGGTATTTAAATGCTTTTTTAGGTGAAAGATGACTGAGTCACGCGGTTGTACTTCACGCAATCAATAGACTGGCCCTGCCTATATTATAATGCAGGATTGAGAGCTGAGACCTGTGAAGCAGGTTTCGCCTGAGCAGATCTGAGATTTAAAATCTCTCAAAAGCGATTTAGCCGTTTTAGCTACAATAACTACAGAACAATTATACAGAGTAGAATAAATGAAACAGAGAAGTCTAATTAAACAAGAATATAACTTACAGTGGTTGCTGCGTCAATAGGAAATGTCGTCACCTGGTCAGATGTACACTGACTTCATCAGATTTTAAATGCGGTATTTAAATGCTTTTTTAGGTGAAAGATGACTGAGTCACGCGGTTGTACTTCACGCAATCAATAGACTGGCCCTGCCTATATTATAATGCAGGATTGAGAGCTGAGACCTGTGAAGCAGGTTTCGACTGAGCAGATCTGAGATTTAAAATCTCTCAAAAGCGATTTAGCCGTTTTAGCTACAATAACTACAGAACAATTATACAGAGTAGAATAAATGAAACAGAGAAGTCTAATTAAACAAGAATATAACTTACAGTGGTTGCTGCGTCAATAGGAAATGTCGTCACCCGGTCAGATGTACACTGAGTTCATCAGAGTTTAAATGCGGTATTTAAATGCTTTTTTTAGGTAAAAGATGACTGAGTCACGCGGTTGTACTTCACGCAATCAATAGACTGGCCCTGCCTATATTATAATGCAGGATTGAGAGCTGAGACCTGTGAAACAGGTTTCGCCTGAGCAGATCTGAGATTTAAAATCTCTCAAAAGCGATTTAGCCGTTTTAGCTACAATAACTACAGAACAATTATACAGAGTAGAATAAATGAAACCGAGAAGTCTAATTAAACAAGAATATAACTTACAGTGGTTGCTGCGTCAATAGGAAATGTCGTCACCCGGTCAGATGTACACTGAGTTCATCAGATTTTAAATGCGGTATTTAAATGCTTTTTTAGGTGAAAGATGACTGAGTCACGCGGTTGTACTTCATGCAATCAATAGACTGGCCCTGCCTATATTATAATGCAGGATTGAGAGCTGAGACCTGTGAAGCAGGTTTCGCCTGAGCAGATCTGAGATTTAAAATCTCTCAAAAGCGATTTAGCCGTTTTAGCTACAATAACTACAGAACAATTATACAGAGTAGAATAAATGAAACAGAGAAGTCTAATTAAACAAGAATATAACTTACAGTGGTTGCTGGGTCAATAGGAAATGTCGTCACCCGGTCAGATGTACACTGACTTCATCAGATTTTAAATGCGGTATTTAAATGCTTTTTTAGGTGAAAGATGACTGAGTCACGCGGTTGTACTTCACGCAATCAATAGACTGGCCCTGCCTATATTATAATGCAGGATTGAGAGCTGAGACCTGTGAAGCAGGTTTCGCCTGAGCAGATCTGAGATTTAAAATCTCTCAAAAGCGATTTAGCCGTTTTAGCTACAATAACTACAGAACAATTATACAGAGTAGAATAAATGAAACAGAGAAGTCTAATTAAACAAGAATATAACTTACAGTGGTTGCTGCGTCAATAGGAAATGTCGTCACCCGGTCAGATGTACACTGAGTTCATCAGAGTTTAAATGCGGTATTTAAATGCTTTTTTTAGGTAAAAGATGACTGAGTCACGCGGTTGTACTTCACGCAATCAATAGACTGGCCCTGCCTATATTATAATGCAGGATTGAGAGCTGAGACCTGTGAAGCAGGTTTCGCCTGAGCAGATCTGAGATTTAAAATCTCTCAAAAGCGATTTAGCCGTTTTAGCTACAATAACTACAGAACAATTATACAGAGTCGAATAAATTAAACAGAGAAGTCTAATTAAACAAGAATATAACTTACAGTGGTTGCTGGGTCAATAGGAAAATGTCGTCACCCGGTCAGATGTACACTGACTTCATCAGATTTTAAATGCGGTATTTAAATGCTTTTTTAGGTGAAAGATGACTGAGTCACGCGGTTGTACTTCACGCAA